ACTCGAGTCATGATTCACTAGAAATCATATTGATTCAATGGAGGATTAGTTGGAAGAAATAAATGTTTAGATTATTAGTGAGTGCTGACGCAAGTTATATTCATTGACGTAAGCATGCAATTAAATAATGAGAGCTCAAATAGTTTAATATTACTACCATCGTAGTCAAAAGCTACTCTTGCTTCAAGAATAAAGCCTTTTAAGCGTAAATCTTGAGAACTTCGTGATGATTGTTGGGTTTTCACTTTTTTAACAAGCGTAGAAATCAAATTAATATTACTTGCATAGTCTAAAAGTCTGATTATATTCATAGAAAACTGCATATCAATTGAATTTATCATTTAAAGCTTGCACTCGCAATGAACTCAAACATAATTTGATAAAAAAAGACAAATAAATACTACAGACACGGCTGACCAGTAGTATTTTTCCCTGGAATCACATTCTCTATTAGAACTAGATGTCTAAAATTGGGATACACGTAGTCTACAGTAAATATAAGTTACTGATAGCATCAACATGAAAATTCTTTAAGTTAGAACAACGTTTTAATGAGGGCCATGCCTAGCCATTTTTGTAGTCGTACAGAATAGTAACCTCTACAATAAATTTTATCAAATTCTATCTAGCCGCTGAAAAATCAGACTATTTGTCCTGAAAAAATGGATCTTGAAAAAACCCACATAGGCTGCCACTTAATGATCAATAACTCAGCGACAAATTGATAGATTCATCTGAAGTTTTCAGGAGTTATTCACTCGTAATTGCTCTTTGTGTTAAGGACTATATAATCCGTATTATTCAAGTATATGGGTTCATCTCTGAAGCAACTTCATTGCTAAAAGACCAATCATTACTGATATACCAAAGCCGGTGCCAGGTTCAGACGTATTCAATTAAAAATAGAGTAAATCAAGAACGCAAGCAGCTGCGAATGTGCGAATTTCATTACGTAATAGAGATGCATAGCACACATAAGTTTATATAGCTTATAAAATCTCTGAAAGAAAAAGATTTGTTTTTCTATTCAATTGGAATGAATTAAATCGAAACTTCCAGTATACATGGTTCCACTGTAACCGATAATGGTTGTAATGGCGTCGAATGATATACAAATCATTATGTTGTCTGAGACAATGCTCGTCGTGCACTCTATATATGAGTCAATGGAGTCAACTTTTCAATAAAGAAATACATGTAGCCTGTACTTTCTTCTATGCAATAAAATCACAGTTTAGTCATATGAATGAGTAAAAATTAAAAAAAAATTTCATGAAGGAATGGTTTTCAATAGTTACATAATTTGCAGCAGATCTTGCTGACTTTCTTAGAAGAAGTATAATACTTTGTCATATTTTCATTTTCTGCTCTCATTTATACAACACTATTATTTTGTTGTATAGAAGTGAATTTTGCACTATAGCATGTATTTATCCAAAAGTTGAGTCCATTGGATAGCACATTGAGTGTATGGCGAGCCTTCTTTGGTACCAATCAGTGATTTAAATACCATTCCATACCATTAAAAGAATTCTTGATAATATTTGCAGAAGAAATCGGACTACAATAGGACTCATGAAGTTGCTTTGCTAGGAAACGTCGTCACTTTTATTGATAGAAACCAATGAAAAGTATAGTGCATACAAACACTTTATTTATTGAAAAATATCAGCAACTATAGATAAAGATATATGAATAAGTTATATATGATTATGCCCGTGTATGCTAAAGAGAATCGCTTAAGAGGAAACAGGAAAAAATCTATTGGTCAGTTCGAAAGTGATAGATGACAACAGTTGATTACAATAGTTCTTAGCAAGCAATGTATACGGAAGTTTTCCGCTTGATTCATTCAGATTGCGTTGAGAAATCAGTATTTTGTTTCAGAGATTTCTCAAATTAACTATGATAAACAGTTGTCTCCTCCTGGGATTGTCTATAAATTTATATCTGTTGTCCACATCTATCATCTAGTGAAGCTCATGCATTGCTAGCTACTTTGGTTCTTGATTTATTCAATTTTTTAATTGATTATCTATGAGTCTGTAGTCGACATTGCTAATGAAGCTTGATAATTACCGGGGAATTTTCAAAACTTTCCAAACACTGACGTGAATAAATTAAGTTATATATCTATAAAAATAGAGAAGTTAACCTCAAACACTGAAAGAATTATGAAAATCACAAAAATTACTGCAAAGTTTCTGTTGTCATCAGAGAATTATGTCAAATATTAACAATTTTGGTAGTTATTAGGAAATTTAATTAATTATCAAAGTTTCATTAAACTTCTATAATTTTTTGGTACCCTTCAGGTCTTAGATTGCAACAATTGCAAACGATCTTAGACAAACTTTTTGATAGACAGTATTGCCGTTGAATAAAGCCGTGTTGCATACCGTGAAATATGTACATCGTTTATAGTGATGATTGTTTCGTAAAACGGTTGCACTGGCGACAGAGACTGAAGTAAACATTAGTCGTTTACGATCGTGACTCCATGTGAATACGGGTACACGACTGTAATGAATCAAAAGTACAAATATCAGTGAAGTCTTGCTTCTTTATCATAATATATATGCACTAATGCATATACTCCATACCTGTAACCTTAGGCAGATACCCTTAAACTTATATGTTTAAGTCTATATTCATATGCTTATGTCTTAGACATATACCCTCTACATCCACATCCATATAGTTATACGTGAGACCTATAACTCATTCGTATACTCTCAAGTCTGTATTTTATGCCTATGCTTTCAAAACTACGTTCTTATTATTATACTCTTATACATATGATCTTAGACCCATACCATAATATTTATAGCCTTATGAATATAAAATTAAACCTAAGGTCTTTTACGTATTTTCATATGGGTGCATAGTTTTGACTATAGTCTTGCACCTATTTTGGTTTTCTTGAATGGCTTATCAAATTTTTTCGTGCAGACTTGAATGATGTGTGTCGAGCAATAATTATGTAGAATGTCATTTGAATCAATTCATTGTATTTGATAGTCTATTGAATGAGGATCAGATCGTTGACGTTAGCGAATGCTTAGAAATAAATAGGATGGAAAACAGTAATCATATATCAAACCACCTACATATGACGCAAGTGATTAATTACAATGTTGTCAAAGCGTCATTTGTTGGCATCCTATTTTTAGGGTCATTGTTTACGATGCTTGTAGTACATCGTAGGAATGTGTTTATGATTGCTGTAAGCGGCCTTTGTATAGGGTTGGTTGTTGATTACTATCGTTATTTGATTGGTAAGCAGCCGTCTACGACTGTGAGTGATTAACTTGAATGGATTCTCTATTTTTGTGGACTTATAGCTTCATTTATGAATATTTAAGTTAAAGAAATTTGAAAAGTTCTTTGATAATTACGAAATCTTGAAATTTCGTGAATATTTTTCCATTGAGATGTCATTAACCCATCAATACTTTCAGTAGTTTTCTAAAAACGTTTTACTCGTTTTCGATAATCTCTGAATTTTCGTGTGATGTTCTTATAAATTTCCATCTTATTTCTCGGACACTTGCAGTATTATGGAAGATCTTCCTCTCTTCAACTATCAATTTCGAAAATTTGATAGTAAGTTTATTTTTGTGTGTCAAAATTTTTGGTAAAATGATTTATTGAGAGAAACACTTCGATAATCAGAAAACTGCTGGCATGAACGCATTCGTTTAGATTTCCGCTAATAATTCTTTTCTAGTACAACGTACAATTTGTCAGGTAGATACGAGAAAACCGTGGAATTAGTTTTATCACTGAAATGAAGAAATGAAAAGTCTAATGACCATGTTCTTCCATTATGTTCACGTTTTGTATGCACGTTCCTACAAAGAAATCTTGAGCGAATAGTTACATTTTAGAGACAACAATCTTACTTACGGTATTAATGGATATAATATGTTACTCTTTTTGTTTACATTTAGTTTTATTTGTTTTTTTACAATAATAGAATGTTGAATAATTAAACAAACAATGAATCAAAATGAAGAGCAGCATCGCGTTATAAAATACATTCTTGACAAACTAGAAAACTATGCCAATAAATCTGATCTTTGGCGTCTAATTCATGCTTCACATCTTCGTCGCAGTCTTCTTCGCAGATCGGAAAGCGTTTCAAAGATATACTCGATATCAGAAGATCTTGTTCGTCAATGTGTCAACCAGGTTTTTGCTGATGTCGATCAAAATGTAACTCAACTTCATCGATTAATTTATTCGCAACAGTTTGATGACCTGATACCACTCTTTAATAGCACTAATAGAAAGAATACCTCATGGCATGCTATGCAAATAGAACGTGCTCGACATTTGTTTTTAACTCAACAAGAACTGAATGAAAATGATTTGTTGGAAAATTATTATATATATATTCGAGAAAAATTAACACCAAAGCACAACGTATCAATTGCAAATCGAAAAGCACAATTTTGTGAGAGCTCATTTGACTTAAATCTCGCCTATAAACAGGCTGAAAGTAAAGCAAAAGAGTATCTAAATAATGCTATACGAAATTTCCGCAAAAGGAAGGTACCCGATTTGAAAATCATTGACGAAATGATTAAATTAGGTAAGTACATATACTAGGTATTTCTATCATTTACATGATTGTCTCTTTTTAATATCGAGTAGGAATAGCCGATATGAAGAAGATCCCATCGAAAGAAGATTTTCAAACAAGTAATAATTTCCTGGGAAGAGTATTGATTTTTCATCAGATCAAAGAAGCATATAAAAGTGTTTTACAAAATACAAGTGATGATTTTATGCTTCTTCGCTTTGGCAAAACATTCGGTCATAATGCGTCACCAAGCACACAACAAGTTAACAAACAATTTTTTTATCTTCTACATTTGTTTCTGAAGTCAGTCGCAGTGTTATTTATCTCACTAACAACGAGTGAAAAAGACAATATGATATCATCAATTTCGAAAATTGCTTCCCTTTGCTTTTTTGATTGTGATTCTTCAATAATGAAACTGAATATTGATCTATTTTCTCCAGAATCAAATGTTGATCAATGGACCTGGCTGTTAGAACAATGGCGCGATATGTTAAGAACCATGCCTATGGTATTTACACAAGCTGGCGCTTTCAGTCGTCTTGTTCGTACAACTATTGGTATTGGCCTTATGCATCTTGGTAAATGTGCTGAAACAATGGGCACAACTGGTTGTTTACCGATGAATGCCGAATTGATGAATGAACATCTATTTTATGCTCTTCAAACAGGCTTTTATTTCGGTGTCGCCTATGCCGTAGTTGACTGTCTGCAAGATGAAATCCATAATCTGGATAATATACCATTACATCATTTTCTCACCTTTGATAATGACAAAAATCACCAACTGACGCCGACCAAAACAATTGATAGGTGGCTTCATATAATGGAGCAATTATTAAGTGGTACAGATTTTGATCGAAGTCAACTACCTAAGACTCCATTCACATCAATGCTTATTGAGTCTTTCGATAATCTTTTGATATTGACAGAATCAAATGATACAATGCGGGGATCTTTCAACGAACTGGCTCTTCTCCTGCGTTCACAGCGGATGGACAAAAAGGAAATGGATGAATATTATGACGACGAGCAACTTTATCTAGGTTAGTTATCATATTTATGTGATTTATCAAAGAACGACATAGTTTGATAATTTAGGATCTGTTCTCAAGTCGCATTTTACTTATACATGCACAACTCACCTTGGTGACATGAGCACAGCACGTGAAGAAAGTGAGCGTCTGTGGGTCATGCCATTTTTGGGACAACTGACAGACGATTGTCGAGATTTTAATGATGATATTAAATCGAAATCAGTCACTCCTTTTACATATTATGCATCATTAATGAAATGTAAAGAACCGGTGGCTAATCATTTACTCAATCCATTCTATACATTTCTGAATATTTGCTCGGATATATATCTATCAAGCAATCGTGATAGTCAAACAGGCGCGTTTCTAGGTCGTCGTATTGCTCGTACATTACGTTCAGTTGACGTGACTGGTGATGAAACATCATATCTTCAATTTCTTAATATATTTTGTATGAACAACAGAGTCTTGCATGATTATTGTTGGAATAAACTACGTAAACAATTTCCTATTGTTACTGATCCTGAGAAATCCTTCTTCCGAGCATTAGATACTTCGAGTATTAAATATGCGCGAACAAATCGAAAATTAGAAACATATGTATGTGAAAATTTAATGAAAATTGAGGATGCATTAAATATTCGTTCATTACATTCTCAAGATGAGACTATTTTCGAAGAAGAAGTGTTAATTTCAGCAATGAATTATAGTGTTAAAGTTGGTGGTAAACGTTTAAGACCATTACTAATGTTAATGGTTGCTGATTTGTATGAAATCGAATTAACTCGAATATTACCTTTGACTTGTGGCATTGAATATTTGCATACATCATCATTAATTTTTGATGATCTTCCTGCACAAGATAATAGCGATTTACGACGTGGTCAGCCATCTCTTCATAAAACAATAATTAATGATGATATACCACATAATTTATGTGAAGGTCGAGCGCAACTGGCTGCTGTTGATCTCATCGCAATCAGTATGGGTTTAATTAATCATGGTCTTATCAAAAATGGATTCTTACCTGAATGTGTCAATCGAGTTGTTGGTGAAATTTCTTTGTTGATGCATGATCTTTGCATAGGACAAATGATGGATTTACGTGCAGCACGTGTCGGTATTGGACAAGACAATAGAGAACTTGATAAACTTGATCGAATTGCTTGGTTCAAGACGGGTAAGACAATCGAAGTAGTAATGATCACACCAGTTATTCTTGTCCAACTACCATCAGACAAACACACTATTGAGTTGTCACGTATTCGAGAATTGAGTCGTCTCATGGGTATTTTATTTCAAATGCGTGATGATTTGTTAGATGTTGAAGGAGGCGATGCTATTGGAAAGCCAACAGCACTCGATGTTAAAAATAATACCGTTACATATGTGTCACTGCTTGGTGTCGATGGTACTCGGCAACGTCTTCAGCAACTTTTAGCTGAAGCATTACAACTGGTAGACGATTGTTGGCCGACAGGTTCAGAAACAGTTAAAGATGTTATTAAATATATTGTTAATCGAAAAAAATGACTGTCGTTTTCGATTCCATATTATTTTTCAACACGCTTTTATCTAATTTATCTTTATGCTAATAAGTGTTTGTCATAAAAGTGCGTGTTGCTTATTAAAGAATTATAATAAAAGTTTGAAGACAATAAATCAAAGTTTGTTGAGATTTTTTAGTTAAATTTCCTGTAGCACGACGGCTCTGCGCATGACACCACCGTACTGGTACTTACATGGGTTTGTGGATTTGCGCTATAGGCTTGGATGCGGATATTTTCTTCTGAGCCCCACTAAATTTTACCTGGGTTTGCTTGAGTTCGAGTGGCGTTCAAGTCTTGAAATTTCCTGTTAACCGGGTTTCAATATGGTTTGTGGTGGAGGTGGCGTGAGTACTAGAGTCAGTCAAATCCGGAATTCTTGCACATGGATTTAGCTGTCGCTTATTGCACGTTTTTAAAATCCTGTGTCGATTCAGATCCGGTTCAATAACTTTGTTTAGAGTTAACCTCGAGCCCGAACCCGGTTGATTAAACTTCTTTCGACACAACTCGGAACTGATCTATACTCGTGATATCCTCAATAAAATGTTTTAATCCGTCTATATAGTCGCTCTCAAGGTACGAGATGCTTTTTCGCTAATTTAGATTCAGCAACCAACACGTCCTACACGTTTTCTTTGGGTGGGTGTGTCTCAGGAGGAAACATCCACATTCACATCTGCAGCTCACAACTACACCACACTTAAGTGTCTCTAAGAGCCAGTGCACGAAAGGGACGACTCAAATGACAGATCACGTGCTCAAACGATCTCACGAATTTCAATGAAATTTTGCCATTATGTAGCCCTAAGTGAGACATGAAAAAGCCTAAAATTTTTTTCGCCTCGAATATTTCCCTTGTTGAGATATTTTAATCACAATGAAAGCACTCTCCGCTAAAAAAATGGCAATAAGCAACGCAGTACCCACTCAGTATATACTTCGCCATTTTCGACCATGATGTTTTTTGGCGTGTAACTTTGAGAATATATACTACCCTTAGTACCCTATAGACTGACGCAATCAAAACCACTTTTCCACTGGTTAGGCGGTATAGAGGTGTTTCATAGGTTTTAGATATGCTCTCGACATTGTGATTAGGATTTCTATCGCTTATGAGCGAGTCACGAGCTACCGCTTTGGAAATAAGTACTACTGACTCTCAGATATTAGCAGAAATTTTCAAAAACTTGGGTATTGGTTTTTGACCCGAACAAAAATATTTTCTACTATATATAAAGGCAAATTTGGCTAAAATTGGGATCCACTTCTGGAAAAGTTGCCAAAGTAGATATCAGCGGATTCTACTCATTTTGATACATGTTGTAGAGGAAAGAGTTTTAAGAATTTTGCCACAAACCGTTTCAAAAAATATTGTTGCGTTACCGAGATATTTAAATTTTTCTAAGAGCACTATTATCAAGCAACAATCACATTTTTAATGATTTGCATGGTCTGATCTATCAAGACATAGAATATGTAGAAATTGAACTCCTGTGGGTTTGAAGTACTCACTGAATACTGCAATGTTATGAAAAACTTGCCATCAGATCTCCTAGAAGGTCCTAGGATACTGGTTGAAAAATACCGAAAAATGAGACCTCTCTATAGAAAAAGCACACGAACTGACTTAGAAATCACACAAAGAGTTTCATCAAATGAGATAAATTATACCTAGTAAAAATCAGTGTATGATCCTCTATTACCTTGAGTAAAAATACGGTTTTAAAACGAAAAACAAATTTTTTCAAAAATCCTCGTACGCCGTACGAGGATTTCCAGAAACGGATTTCCAGCAGAATGCCTGGAGGGGAGTAGGGGGGTTTTTGAAAACAATTTTTTTTTCTTTTAGAAGAGTGTTTTTTCGGAAGGTAATAGAGGATCATATACTGATTTTTACTAGGTGTGATTTATCTCATATGATGAAAATCTTTGAGTAATTTCTAAGTCAGTTCAAGTGCTTTTTCTATAGAGAAGTCTCATTTTTCGGTATTTTTCAATTAGTATCCTAGGACCTTCTAGAAGATTTGATGGCAAGTTTTTCATAACATTGCACTATTCAGTGAGTACTTCAAACCCACATGAGTCCAACTTCTATACATTCTATGTCTTAGAAGATCAGGCCATGCAAATCATTAAAAATGTGATTGTTGCATGATGATAGTGCTCTTAGAAAAATTGAAATATCTCGATAACGGAACAATATTGTTTGAAACGGTTTGCGTCAAAATTCTTAAAACTCTTCCCTCTACAACATAGGTCAAAATGAGTAGAATCTGCTGATCTCTACTTGGCGACTTTTCCAGAAGTGTACCCCAATTTTATCGAAATTCGCCTTTATATATAATAGAAAAGATTTTTGTTCAGGTGAAAATCAAATACCCAAGTTTTTGAAAATTGCTGCTAATATTTTAGGGTCAGTAGTACTTAGTTCTAATGTGGCAGCTGGTGACTCGCTCATAAGCGATAGAAACCCTAATCACAATGTCGAGAGTATATTTGAAACCCATAAAATACCTTTATATTGCTTAGTACGTCGAAAAATGATTTTGAGTATACCAGAATGTAGGGTAGTCACGGTGGTAAATATACACAAAATTTCAAGGCTAAAAGCATTATTGTTGAATTATGGCGAAATATACAATGTATAAGTACTACATTGATTATGGTTATTTTTTACCTGAGGGTGCCTCTATTGTGATGGCAATATTTCTAGAATAGAACGGTTTTAGAAGCTGAAATTTTGGGGTTTTTTATATCTTACTTAGGACTGCATACTGGCAAAGTTTCATCGAAATCTGTGAAATCGATTGGGCACGGTTGGCCGTGCCTACTGTGCAATGGCTCCTAACGTGATATCACGAGTGAAAATACCTGTTCTCGAAACTGTCGTGCGCGGCACTGTCGATGAATCTAAACTTCTTCAAAACTTTCACTTGCACAAGTATTCCATAACAATTAGAAATTAGTGTTTCATATTGTTACAATTTTTTTAATCATATTTCAACTATGATGGCTAAAATTCCCTCTGAATGCAACATTACAGACGCACAAGATTCTAACAGACTCATTGAAGATCTATCGACTTGTTATAGTGTAATTTCTTCGAAAAGAATTAGATATACCAGTGTGCATTTCATATGATGCGTTTACAGCGTTTCCCAAAAACTCAACCAAATACTAGGGTAGGAGATATACCAAGTGGGAACGAGCTGACTTTTTCCGGTTTTTTATCGATTTTAAACAAAAACTTTAAAAATTTTAAAAAGTTAAAAATATTTTATGGAGTCAAAAAGCCTAATATGTACATCTCTTTTTAAATTTAAGAAGATTGTATATTTTGTTTGATCTTCTGTAGCTTTCTACTTCATGAGAACGTACACAGATTTCAGATGAAGTGTGGGTGCCGCGAAACGACGAACACACGCAGGCATTTTGTGAGGGTGTTGGTTGACCTCATTCTCTAAATGCATGAATCGTGCTGTTTTAACTAATAGGAATTATCTACGTGCTCAAATTGCCAGAAAATAGTTAGAATTAGGGCCAAGAACTTCGAAAATCAGACCTTTTTTGAATAGCAATTTTTTATGGATTTTTTAGATTTTTTCGGCCTTTTTAATTTATTTAACTTTTTAAAATTTTTTAAGTTTTTTGTTTAAAATTGATAAAAAAGAAGAAGTCAGTTCGTTCCCGCTTGGTATATCTTCTATATCTCCTACTCTTGTGTTTAATCCAGTTTCTGGGAAACGCAGATAACGCATATAATCATGCCTTTTGAGTTTTTTTGGCTCTCATTAGTCAATGTAGTTGAATCACATATCGTAGGCATAAGTTATTAATCTGCATGAAGAAATACATACAGAGTATCGACCACTATACGAGACCTATGAAAAGAAATGAGAAAATATATCCACTAAGAATTGAATAATCCTGATAGCCAATATCTCCGATAGAAATAGAAACCATATTAGTGAATTCTTCCCAAATGTAACTACACAAGTGTGCAGATCAGTTCTTAGCCTTGACTTTGTTCATTCATTTTTTTTTCTTTAATATCATCTCTCGAATAACCTGATCCACAGTTAATTGTATTTTTTAGCAAAAATATTTCCTTATTTTTCAAGAGATAGTTCCTTAAACCACAAAGAGGTTCGATGTACCTACGAGTTCTGCCTGATTGACTCTGGAAGGAAAAGGTATAATCGTTAACTTCTAATATTGTTGCCATTGCTTTGAATCTACAACTTCTCAAATTACGAATAATCTTTTTGTCTTCATCTACATTTGGATCGTAAGAACGGGATTTTCTCTATCAAAAAAACAAATTTGACATTCAAAATCAATCACGTAGAGAGACGTATCGTAAATCATTTTCTGAATTACAGTAGTACATAGGACTATTTAACAAGAAAGATTGATCAATGCAGATTTTATTATGTGAATATATGTTTTTCAGCATTCATTTGAATAGTTAATAAGTGTACACTGAAAAACAAATGGTGCCATACGGAACCAGCAACGGGTTTCGCACTTACTACGAAACCTTTTTTGAGGGTTCCGGTTTTTGCAACAAAAGATTCGATATGGCACCATTTTTTTCAGTGTACATAGCAGCAACGTACGGTTTTCAGATATAAAATGCACATCTAGTAGTTAATTATCCTATTTTAATTTGAAATAGATAGTAGAATGAAGATGATTTACTGTAGTATCTTTAGTATCCTCCAAGGTTTTTTTATTTTATGATTTTATTTGCTTCAACTAGTACCAATAAAAAATAGTTGTATGAAAAGACATGAGACTAGCAAAAAAGCCTTAGAACATTGCTCCAATTACATGTTTTTATTTAGCTACTCTCTTTTCTCAATACTAACACTTGACCTGCATGAGTAACATTGATTGCCATCGGTCCAGGAGCATAAAATGGTTCACCATCCATATGTACCGGCATCGAATGAATTAGTTCGATTCGAACTTCAGTGAATT